CTTTCTTTTTTCCTCCTGCTCCCCCCCCCCCCCCCCCCCCAAAGTTCGACGGCTACATGGCCGCGGTGCCCTCCAAGCACGACCTCGCTTCCTTCTTTCGCTCCATCCATGCCGAGCTCTCCCTCGCCGTCCCCGCCGGGAGCGTCGGTTCGGCGGCGGCGACGGGGTCTTCGGAGGCTGAAGCAGCGGCCGGCGGCGGCGGGCTGGGCGGGGGCGGGGGGAGCTTGGAGGCGGACTTCAGCCTGCTGCCGATCCTTCTGAAGGGGGTCGTGCAGGCGGCCAGGCTGTTCTGCACCAAGGTGGAGGCCATGCAGAGCGTGGAAAAGGTATGTGGGCGCGTTTTGTTGTCCGCCGGTAACCCCGGGGTATGGGTGTATCCCCGCGTGTGTGTTGGGCTGTGTGGTTTGTGTTTGTCCCGTTAGCATCGATCGTGCTACAAACGTCGGCAAGACGTTGGTCTCAACGGGGGGGCAACTACTGCGACACGCGATTCCCTCGGGGACTGGACAGGAGGGGCCCATGGGACAACCATGGCGACGAGTGTATGCTGTACATACGTGTGCGTGATAGATGAACGTTGTGGTACTTTTTTTTTTTTTTTCGTGGCGTGTTGGTGAGGGGAGCATTTTGTTATCCGAAGAGTCTTCAATGGCTGTCATGGTTGAACGATGCCGTCTATCACCGTCGCCGCTGCCGCCGCCGCCGCTATCGTCGTCGTTGTTGGTGTTGAATAGTCGCCGTTCTGCTGCTGGTTGTATCGACGTTGAGCATGCGGCGTACGTACGCCCCCTTGCGCCTACTGTATGACGACCGCCTCCTTTCCCCCCCCCCGTTCAACAGGGCGCCTACACATTCGGTGGCGGGAGCAACGCCGCCCTCGGCGGCCGCGCCGGCGGCAGCACCGGCGACGACGACATGATGGGGAACGACATGCCCAGCTCCGCCGTCGCCGCCGCTGCGGCGCCAATGGAAGCCTGGGCCCCTACCCTCGAGCAGGAGCACAACCTCCAGTTGCTGGAGCTGGTCGTGAAGCTTCGCGAAGCCCTCCTGGGCATCCCGGCCCTGGTGCTGCCGTCGCCGCCGACCCCGGCGGCGGCGGCGTACGGGGTCGAGTGCCGGGAGCGGGTGGCCAAGGCGGTTCGGGCGCTGGACGACCTGGCTTCGAGGGTGTTCCTGGAGCCGTACCTGAGCGGGGTGGCTCGCGCGCTGGAGGATATCGTGTCCAAGATGCACAGGTAGGTTGACGCCAAGTAACCCCCCCCCCCCCCCTCTCACTGGCTGATTTTCTCCTCGATATTTCTCCGCAGCAAAACAGAGTGGCGGCGGTGCCGCCGAAAAGATGGCGGCGAGGGAGAACCGTCTCGTCGAGAGCTTCCGAAAACGTTTCGTTTGGCTTTCACGCCATCTTCTTCGCCCGTCGTGGAGAAATGGAGCTGTTAATGGGAGTGGTATCTTGGGTCACCTACGGTATCCAGGTCTCTCTCGGGGCGCTAATACTGCTGTGTTCAGCGGGGTGACGGTGCCGGCGGCAGGGGGGGCTTGCGGGGATGGTCCTTCCTCGGGGGGGGGGGTACTATCTGCGGTGCCTCTTTTCTCGGGAGGCGTGTTGCTGCTGGCATTTTATCCTCGGGGGGGGGGGACTGAACGTGCTGCCAAAATTAGGCACAAGCGTTGGGGATGAGTTGCGACCGAACGGTATTCCTTCGTTCGCGTGTACAGCATGCCCCACCACTCTAAGAGATTCTCGAGTTGCGCGACCCTGTTTTATCGTTTGCGATTAGCGAGGGAACCAACAGGGGTCATTGACAGTAAATAACGGACTTCAACAATAAGTTGCAGATGTTCAAGAAGTTAATATATATTTTGAAGATTAACCTGCTTCAACTTTATGTTTTAGTGATGACAACCGCTGGTTGTAGGGTCGACTTCTTACAGCACGTTTTTTTCGTGAACATCGGGCCCTAAACCAGCTTGATTAGCGGTAGCGAGCTCTGAGGGACAAGCAGGGCGACCGGACGAAGTCGACACGTTGCCCACAAGTGCGAGCGAGCTATTTGGCCGCCAGGATTGTCGTCTAAGCAGTGGCACACCGATCGCGTATCATACGGCGATGATCATGTTGCAACTTACGGGGCATCAAATCAAGCCATATGGCACCAACGTAAACCTTCGCAGCAGCAGGTCTACGAGAGACGAGCCGCTTGTCCTTGTAGAACAAACGCGCGCACGTGTGTGTGTGTTTGTGTGTGTCTCCTTCAATGGCATCGACCGCGCTGACAATTGAAACCACGCCAGTCTTGTAGCGGGATGAATGAACACGTTCGTGTGTGTGTGCGTGTTTTCTTGTATGCATACCCTGTCTCATCCTTTGCTTGTGCTTGACCGCTGGGGGGTTGGTTGGCAGGGAGAATTTCGGGCCTGGAGTGTCGGCTATGGCAGCCTCAGAGCACCATGGCGGCGGCGGCGGGTCTCTTTTCCTGCATGAGCTGCAACGTGCGCTTGCCGCCCTCCAGGCTGACCACTTCACTCGCATCGCGGCGCTCCGGACACCCAGCGCAGAGGTGTGTGTGTGTGTGTGTGTTGAACTGTTTTTTGGTGTTGTTGTCGTTGGCATCGGCTGCGCCAACCGGCCGACCACAGACAAGGGCATCAGTTTCAGAGTAGATGATAACGGGAAACGCTGCTTACGGCCGTGTGTGTGTTTTTTTTTATTATTATTATTAGCATCGACCGCGCTAACCGGCTGACCAATGAAAAGACGCCAGTCTCAGTGCGGTGGAAAACACAGAGTGCTTCTATAGGCCACGATCTGAGACCCAGTGAGGTAGCGGGAAAAGCTAGCCTACTCTCCGCATTAAAGGCAGAAACGATGAATGAGAAACGTGTGTGCTTGAATTGTTGTTGGCATCGACAACGCGAACCGACTGACCAATGGAAATTCGTGACGAGTGCCGGCGGGTAAGAAAAAGTAGGTTCCCGGACCGGGGACCAAAGTTTTAATCATGGTCGTGTGTGTATCGCGTTGTGGTGTGATACGTGTGGTGTGTTGTGTTGTGTGTGTTGTGTTCGGAAGAGGAGCGGAGCGGGGCTGGGCAAGGGTTTATCGGTCGGAGGGACTTTCCCTCACTGCGGTGGTGGTGGGCCTTTGGTTGTCTTGAATTGGGGTACAAGCTCGTGTTCCAGGCGTTGCACGGTGTTTTGCGTGTGAGGTTCGAGAGCGGGTGAGGTGTGTCTTCCCGTAACGGTCTTGTTTTGGTCCTGCTTGCATCATCATCTTTTGGTAGGTCGTTTCTGTGTTGAGAGGCCACTGCTGTGGCCCCCGCTACAAGATCAGTTTGGTGACAATGACAACGATTTTGGATGACAACAGCGACGACAATGATGTGGATAGCGCGTCAAACAACGGTGTCAGAGAGGGAAAAACGATTACGCGCTTGTTCTCTCTCTCTCTCTCTCTCTCTCTCTCTCTCTCTCTCTGTGTGTCTGTGTCTGTGTCTGTGTCTGTGTCTGTGTCTCTCTGTCTGTCTCTGTCTGTCTGTCTGTCTCCCTGTAACGTTTTTCGTTTCGTTTTGTTTCCGAAGGCGGCCCTGAGATCGTTGGCGGCGAGGGTCCTCCGCGCGTACGTGACCCACTGCGCCTTGATCCGCCCGCTGTCCGAGGGGGGAAAGGCCAGGATGGCGCAAGACATGGCCACGCTCGAGATCGCGCTCAGCCCGCTCGCAAGGGTGAGTGAACAAGATTGGAGAAAGTGGTTGGGGGGGGGGGGGTCCGGTTGGTGCTAATATGGGGGGGGTGGGGGAGGGGGGGGGGGGCTGCTTTCTGCTGCAGCTGCAAACATGCGCGTGCGTACTCTCGGGATCGTGCTCAATCTGTTGTTCTCAAGGGTTTGGGTGCGGCTTTGGTTTTTGGCGGACTTTGAGGCGTGAGTGGCCCCATGCGAGCTGCATAGAACTGAACGATGTTGGTGTCAGCAGTTCTTTTACCTGCGACTGAATAATAAACCGCATTGGTTGCTGCTGCAGCTGCCCACCTGTTGGTGTTGTCGCGGTGTGTCGGGCGTGTGCGGTCCGATGCGGACTTCCAACTGCGACTATTCGCATTGCGCCTTGCGATGTCAACGACAACGTCGACGAACTGCGACGATTTTTTAATCCGACGACAATGACAACGACGGCGACGATGGCGATGACACCCACTGCCGGCAGGTCTCGGAGTTGGGAGCCGTGTACCTCGAGTCTCGGGCTTTCCGGACCCTTCTCTTCGTCGATGACGCCGACGACGAGGGCGGCGACAGCAACAACCAGGGGGGAGGAGGAGGAGGAAGGGGCAGAGGGAGAGACTCGAGGTATATATATCGGGAGCCTATAAAGCTGTTGAGATTTCTTATCGCTACTATATGGAGTGGTATTGTTTTTATTTTGTGTTTGACGACGCCCAAAGAGTTTTCTTGCTTTCTTGAGACGCTATGGCAGGGGCTTTCGTGGTCAGAAAACAGATGTGACAGTCTACCGTTCGGGTGCTGCCCCTGAACATGGTGAGAATTTGGTACCCTACGCACGAGAGCCTTGGGTTTTAGGATGTCTCATTTTTCAGAGATTGATTGCACCCTCCTCGCTGCGACTATCGTCTTGTTCCTCCGTGCACCACCAATCTTTGTAGCCTAGCACGCACGTCACAATGTTACCACGATACTGCAACAAACCATCAGAAGAACACTATCGGACCGCCTTTAGTAGAGAGGGGGGTTTCGCAACCCCAACACTAACCCTACCCCCCAACCCACACCCTACCCCCAACTAGAGGCAAGCTTCATATCCTCGCGAAGGCTACTGTGAGTATACCCCCCCCCCCCCATACGAAGAAGTTGATTGGGAAGGGTAAAACTCAGATAGGCAAGATGGACGAGATCCTTACGGACCCACACCTAGACACTAGGATTAAGAGGTGTATTCTCTTGAATGTGATTGTACCTAAGCTAGAGTATGCAGGAGAGGTATGGGAAGGTAACGAAAAGGCCGTCAAGCAGATGGAAACGGTGCAGATGGCAGCGGCCAAGAAAATATTAGGATGTTCAAGTACAACGAGCAACACTGTATTGAGAGCAGAATTGGGAATGTACTCTCTTAAAACAAAGAGAGACATGCAGAAGTTAAATTGGCAGTACAAGGTAAGTAGAATGTCGGACGATAGACTACCAGCCATGGTTGACAAGGCAGCTTGGGGAAAAGCGACTCCAGGGAAGAAGGGAATCAGATGGGACAAGGTGGTAGAGAAGGTTTGGAAGGAGATAGGAGACGAGGAGGAGACGTTGGACACGGAAGGGTTCGGGGGGTTCAAGACGAAAGTCAAGGAGATGCTAGAGAGTAGGGAGGAGGCAACCCTTCGGAAGAAGGTACGAAGCGAAGACCACTTGGAGATATACGGGAAGTTGAAAGAAGGGATAGGGATGAAGACGTACTTGGACGGCCCCATGGACTATGTGAAAAAGCTGAATTGCAATTTCGAGTAGGCGATCTGGACTTGCCAGAACGGAGGAAGAGGTATACCAGCCGTAGGAGAGAGGAAGAGGAGGATAGACACACATGTCCATGTGGCAAATCGGAGGAGAGTAGACCCCACATAGTTGGGGAGTGTGAGTTGTACAGGAAGGAAAGAGAGGATCTCGAGGAGGAAATGAGACAGAGAGGATGTGACATGGACAAGTTTGGTACATTAGACAACAGCGAAAAAACGATCGCGATAATTGGGGATAGATGGTGGGCACAAGAGGCCCTAGAGGACGGGGATAAGATGTGCAAGAAATTTTTATGGAGTTTGTGGCAGAAACGTAAAGAGCTCCCAAATGTTGGTGGTGTCTCTAGTAGGTGTAGGAACGGTGCTCCGTCTCGAAAGGGACGCGTGGTCAATGGTCAAATGACTACGGCAAGCAACAAATGAGTACGCCCCCCCCCCCCCCCCCCCCCCCCCCCC